GCCTGCCGAATCGAATGATATGTGACATGACCTCTTTCGACCAACTTCGTGACCTAGGGGTGCTGACCTGACCTTGACCTGAGGTCAACACCCCAAGTTGACCTGACCCGGACAAAAAGTATATCATTCGACGCGCCTGAGCGAGGCGAACACGATGCTGCCAAAATCGTCGCTCTGCGGCCGTTTTTTGCGAAGTTATTCACCAAAAACTGAACCGTACCTTGGGGCACTTGACCTGACCTCAGAGGTCACCGGTTGACCTAGGACCTTAAAATCGGGTACCAATCTCTGCGTCTCGTAACGGCGCACACGCTCGTTTTTTTCCGCGACACGCTAGCTCCACCAGGGGCGAAACGGCGAGGGGGGGGGTCGTACCCGCCCCCCCCCCCTCGGCCGGCGCGTATGTAGAAAACCAATAGGTCCGGCGAGGGTTAAGGCCCCCCTTCAGGTTTTTGTTGTGCCATTGCCAAACGCCGCAAGACTGAAAGCTCATTCTCGGTGACTTTTTCTAAACATTCATTGCGCACATTTTGACAAAAAAAAGTTGCCGGGTCAGGTCAGGTCAGGTCACCAGAGGCGGTTTGGTGACCCCACCTCAGAAAAGTTTGCAATCACGCCAGAGCTAGAGTTTTCGACCGATCAATTTCTTCTCTTCAGGTTTTAGTTAGGGTACCAGTATGTGCAATTTGTATATCTCAGAATTTTCACATCTGTGACCTAAGGTCAGGCCAGACTCGTGACCCTTACATTACAAGCCTATGGGAAAATATTGAAACGCCTCCTGCTTCGTGTAAAACGAGTCAAAACCACCCAATTCTTTCAGTATTATGGAAGATTATCTCATCGGTGATGATCCTGGTGCCGCTAATTGACAGGGGCACCGGCAAAGGTCATCTGAGGTCATGTGACGTCATAAATCGTTTTTCTGTCTATAAATCACGACATGATGGTGCTAAAGTCTTTTAAGTGGTACCAAACTACTCGCCTGGTCAAGGCGCGTCGTTTGGTATGCAGCATAACCATACCCCACAACCTCATTGATGAATGACCTGACCTTGACCTCAGGTCAAATTTAAAATTGACCTGTGAAGGTCATCACATGCTTATTTCGCATCGCCTCGGCGAGAGCAACAAAAAAACATATTGGTTTTATGTCTCTATGTTTCTTAGTTTTAAAGTTATATAGGTAACTAATTCCAAAACATTTTATCGTTGATGACCTCTGGTGACCTCAATATTGACCTGACATGAAAATATTTTTTTGTAAAAGTTGTAGATCTTTAAACGACCTATCAAACGCCGTTTGCCGTTTGTCGCTGCGATGTGTAGTTTTTGAGATCTGAAGGGGGGGGCCGAATCGGCCCCTCCCCGCCAGTTTCTTGTCCCGGCGGAGCCCGCCAGGAATAGGGTTAAGAAGTAGTTTTAGTGCCTTCGCAACATGTTACGAAGCCTGTCAGAGGCGGATGACAGGTACTACGAATACCCGTCACGACCCCTACTGGTTGACCTGACCTGACCTGACCCGACCTGGTCTAAACGCTTAACGACATCATCTGTGATCAAAACTAACACGATATTCGTGATCAGAACCCCGGAAAACCCCTTAGCAGCCACACTTTACGACTTTCTAACAGGTCCCGATATTCCCGATTTTTGGGTCATTGACCTGACTTGGAAGGTCAACCGATGACCTAGGACCTTAAAATTGGGTGTCATTCGCTTCCTCTCGTGACGGGCAACACGCTCGTTTTTTTTCCGCGAAGCTCTAGCCCATCAGGGGCCAAACGCGAGGGGGGTCGTACCAACCCCCCCCCCTTGTGCCGTCGAAGGACTCAAAATGGCCTGTGCCGGCGTGGGTTAAAATTGACTTATTAAGTTCAAATTATATAATGTTACCACACTTTTTCGCAGAGCCACGCACACCTCAGATGACTACTGTCAGGAAACAAAAGTCACCTTTAGATAACATCACACCGGCGTAGTGGACCTTCACTAGCAGTTAGCACACATTCGAGTGCAGTAAAGGTCAGGGCCAAGTACGAATTACAACACGGTTAGTTTTGCTGCACAGATCCCGTGCCTTGGAGTATAAAGACCCACATCGGCTGATAGCCAGCAGTCAGCATTCAAACTCGCTTGAAGGAGTAACTACCAAAGCTCAACATGAACTTCAGCATTGTGGTGAGGGCTACAAAAAAGAAGCAGTGAATAAGATACATGCATACCCGCTCCTGTACCTTGATATGTATAAACCTTCTGAAACGATTACATTTGGCTATGGCATTCTCTTTATTGGAGCAGTTGCTTGTGAAAAAAGTTTTCGGAAGAGATTGATATATCACTCAGTCTCACCATGTGACCCTCTGCTTCAGGCTGTCCTCATCACCGCCCTCGTGGCCATCGCCTCGGCTGACGGCGGGTTCAGGGGCAGCCACTCCAGTGGCGGACAGTTCAACAAGGGCGGACGCTTCAACAACTTCGGACGCTTCAACAGCGGCATCAGCAGCGGCTTCGGCAAGGGCGGCAACAGGTTCATCGGCGGCGGACAGCGGTTCAACAACGGCTTCAACAAGTTCAACTCTGGCTTCAACTCTGGCTTCAACTCCGGCTACGGCGGAGGTCGTCTGCACGGCTCTGCCATTGGCGGCGGCTCCTTCAACCGGTTCCGCAGTGGCGGCGGCTACTTCTAGACTGGGACGGAGGCTGTGAAGGCACCTGATCCTTCTGAGGCACGGCTAGAAAGCCGGGTTATACGTTACCCTACTTTGCCTGATCATGTTAACTCTGCCTTCGAAAGTCATTCGATGATCGAAACATATTTGTATGTCATATTAAGTGGTACAGAATTATGATTATGACAAGTATGTTGCAGAGTTAACCACATTAGCTGCCAGAGCAGCAACTGTTAGAACTGCTACAAGCGCTGAATGCCGGTACTGGACACTGTAGTACACTCAGTACCTACAGTCACAACCAACTCATATTTGTGGTCGGAGAATGTCAATGATGTGATATTTTTAAATAAACAAAGAGTTTATAGGTACATTGTTACTTTACACAATGCACATTGTTACATATTACACTGATATAAAAGTGACCCTCTCACCCTAAAAAAGGAAATGAATTGGCATAAAAGTGATGTCCCGTGATTCAGAAAGATAAATTCATATCTACCAAATTTCACCGAAAAATATTCACTAGTTTTCAAAATATTAGCCTTTGGTTTTGTTTACTTTTTGGGCCTCTGTTGCTCCTATGACGTCATTTGGAAGCAATAATTGCGCATCCTAAAAGTGCGACAGATGTTGGGCGAAAATAGTAACTATAGTAATAGTTACGGAGCGAGCGAAGCGAGCGGAGTCTTCCTTAGATTAACGGAAATTTCTGAGTATGAGCGGCCGGCCGGCCGTGCGGACGCTTTTGCGAGGCTTATATCTCAGCAACCACTTGACCGATTTACATGCAGTAAATTTTGTAGGGTAGCTTCATTCCTTCTACCAAGTATTGGACTATTCCCGATGCATGTGGGTGACCCCTTATGCACGTGCCACGTGCAAAACGAAGAGGTGTCAGTTTTGTAATTGTTGCAATATCTCGGTAACTACTTGGCCGATTGCGCTGAAAGTTGGCATGTAGATAGGCACCCACTAGGCACTGCATATCCATGTGCCAGAGTTGGGGTGCTGCTGCACGTGCGCACGTGCAGGGGTCGTTTCCAGATCTCGAGAACGGCTGGACCGATGGCGCTCAAATTTGGTACACGATTAGGGACCAGTTAGTAGGGTGCCGTGCACAAGTCAGTTGGGACCCATTTTGGGGTGCTGCTGCACGTGCGCACGTGCAGGGGTCGTTTCCAGATCTCGAGAACGGCTGGGCCGATTGTGCTCAAATTTGGCACATCGCTAGAAACCGGTCAGTAGGGTGCCGTACACAAGTCAGTTGGAGAAACCCCTCGAAATTTCGCACGTGCAAGACTCACCCCCTCGCTCGCTCCGTTAGTCGCCCCAAAAGGCGCTATACTGGTAGTTACGGAGCGAGCGAAGCGAGCGGAGTCTTTCCTTAGATTAACGGAAATTTCTGAGTATGAGCGGCCGGCCGGCCGGCCGGCCGGCCGTGCGGACGCTTTTGCGAGGCTTATATCTCAGCAACCACTTGACCGATTTACATGCGGTAATTTTTGTAGGGTAGCTTCATTCCTTCTACCAAGTATTGGACTATTCCCGATGCATGTGGGTGACCCCTTATGCACGTGCCACGTGCAAAACGAAGAGGTGTCAGTTTTGTAATTGTTGCAATATATCGGTAACTACTTGGCCGATTGCGCTGAAAGTTGGCATGTAGGTAGGCACCCACTAGGCATTGCATATCCATGTGCCAGAGTTGGGGTGCTGCAGCTGCACGTGCGCACGTGCAGGGGTCGTTTCCAGATCTCGAGAACGACTGGGCCGATTGTGCTCAAATTTGGCACATCGCTAGAGACCGGTTAATAGGGTGCCGTGCACAAGTCAGTTGGGGGTACCCCTCGAAATTTCGCACGTGCAAGGCTCACCCTCTCGCTCGCTCCGTTACTCGCCCCAAAAGGCGTTATACTGGTGGGTAATAGTTGTAGTAGTTGAAAGAACATGCATATACTTCATCAATGACGGCGCGTTCGACACAATGCGTCAGTGTATTGTTTATTTATAAAAAGCACACTGTCCACATACTTTGATAACAAATATGAGCTGGTTGTGACTATCTGCAATTACATCCACATTTACATAGCACTTGTAGCAGTTCCGACAACAAGCGTGCCCCATTAGTCAGTCTATGCCACTTTACATAGAATAACTTATTCGATGTAATTCTATTTAAGGAATGCTTAAGGTGTATGTTTATAAAGCTGGTTTGTTTCCAATGGTAATCACGATCAGATCACGTAGAGTTGCATTCAATCCGTCTGTCTAGCCAAGACCCAGACCAGTAAAAATCAAATTTGTCCCCACGGCCCTCGTCCCCGTCTAGAAGTAGCTGCCGCCACTGCGGAACTGGTTGAAGGAGCCGCCGCCAATGCCAGAGCCGAGCAGACGACCTCCGCCGTAGCCGGAGTTGAAGCCAGAGTTGAAGCCCGAGTTGAACTTGTTGAAGCCGCTGTTGAACCGCTGTCCGCCGCCGATGAACCTGTTGCCGCCCCTGCCGTAGCCGCTGCCGAAGTTGCTGACGCCGCCGCCGAAGCCGCTGTTCAGGCGTCCAACGTTGCTGAATCCACCCCTGTTGAACTGTCCACCACCGTAGCTGATTGGCCTGAACCCTCCGGCAGCCGAGACAACGGCCACCAGGGCGGCGACGAGGACAACCTGAAGCAGATAAAGTGGGATCAGTATGAGTGGTAACTTTTGTTTGGTTAGTTGGTACTCGATTCTCATTTCTGTGAATAAAACGTTTGTATCGTGAAACTAAAATATCTTTAAAGCATAGCACATTTCACTATTCGTTCGTGATCACCCTTACCACAAGCTGGAAGTTCATAATGAGCTGAGGTGGTAACTCCGGACGAGTTTGAATGCTGAATGACTGGTAACCGCCGGCCGCGGTGCGCCTTTATACTTCTCGGCGCGGCGCGGCTGCAGAGATTTCTGCAGGAAAATCCTAGTGTGTCGTAACTGGTCTGGGCCCGACTGATACGGCGCTGTAGAGGCGACAGCAGGTTACGGTGGGACAAAGATAGGACATTGCACACAGTCATAACCGGCCATTTAGAATGTGCTAAGATCCTTTTTGGCATATTAACACGCGCACCGACGGGGGGGCGGATATCCGCCCCCCCCCCCCCGGAGGTTTTTCGCAAATAGCGGAAAAACCGCGGCGCGTAGCGCCGCGAAATTTGGAATGACTATTTTCTCATCAATTTTACACATGGTGTGCAAGTTTAAACCTCCTAACTTTCAAGGTCAGGGCACCAGGTCACTTTGAATGACCCAACCTCAAGTCACTTTTTTGCAACTTTGTCACCGTGCCAGAGCTACAGTAGATGTCGGAGGCCTTTGAAAGTCGCAGGATGCTATTAGGTCATTAGTAGCTACAATTTGTATATCTCGGAATTTTGATATCCATGACCTAAGGTCAGGTCAATTCCTCGACCTCCCCATTATAAGTCAATGGGGGGAAAATCAACTCCCTGTTTTTACCACTAAAACGGGTCAGAATGGCCCCATATACCATACATGACTTCATATACGATCAAACTTCACTACCTTGAGGTCTGTTTGCTGTTGGGCAGCTGTAAGGTCATGTGACGTTACCAAAGGTCACCAAAGGTTTTTTTTGCCAATAACTCCGTACAGGAACAAGATACAGCCACGCGGATGGTCTCATTGCGTTCAGCTCGTCAAGACGCATCGAATGATATACATGATGACCTCGAGGTCACGTGACCTGAGGTCAACCTTTGACCTTGACCTTTCGAGGTCAACATATATGTCATTCGATGCGGATTGACGAGAGGATCACGATGATGCCCTTAGTTTGTTCCTATCTTGACTAATTCGAAAGTTATTCGAGAAAAACTCTCTCCATATATAGGGCCACCATTTTGACTTTTTTGACCCCTGTGACGTCATCTTTGACCTGACCCGAAAATGACCTTTGTAAAAATTGTAGACCTTGTCCGTGCGTATCCGATGCCGTTTACCGCTTGTCGCTACCTTGCTTCGTTCTCGAGATATCAGGGGGGGCGGTCATCCGCCCCCCCCCCCCGTCGGTACGAAGTTGGCGCAGACCCCCGTCGATGCGCGTGTTAACCCGCGCCCGGCTGGGGGTCCTGGATTTCCACGCCCTGCTGGGGGGGGGGGTGTTTGAACACCCCCCCTTCTAACTCGGCTCCTGGGCCACGTAGCGATACGCAGAAGGCGGCGTTCGAAAGAGCGTTAAAAATAATGAGGAAATCACTTCGGTCAATTTTTTGGTCAGGTGAAAGGTCAGGTCACCAGAGGTCATTGAAGGCAAAATTTCGCCGATTTCCAGGTCGAATGTCGACAATTTCCAAGAAGCCAACGCCTAACTCGGGAACCAATAGAGCTACAGCGCCGCGGAAAAGCGCATTCGATAGCCCTATTAGCGCCCTTTCTGAGTAATTTTCTCAGAGTTGACCTAACGTCAACGGTTTTGCCTGCAGGGGGCAAAAACTGAAAAAATAGCCGATTTTTTCGGAAACAGTTTTTCTGCAATAACTTTTGACCCAAGCCTTGTACGAGCTTACTTTTACCGGCATCGTGTTCCTCTCGTCAAGACGCATCGATTGAACTATAACTTGACCTTGAAAGGTCAACTTGAAAATTTGACCTCAGGTCAAGGTCATGACCTGACCGGAAAGGGTCATGTTGCATATCAGTCGATCCGTATCGTCGAGCTGAACACATCTAAGGCGTTTTCATCGCTCTAGCATGCCTCTATCAAAAGTTATTTGCGAAAAACTGTTAGATACCATTCGTGACCTAAGATGACCTCAGGGCATAAACAGGGGTCACAGACACCATTTTCATGTTCAGTGTGTCTAAACCACTTGTAATTCAGTGTTTGGGAGTGTTTATAATGTCTTTCGTCCAAAAGAGGCGCATTTCAATTTTCTCCCATTGACTTATAATGGGGAGGTCGCAAAATTGACCTGACCTTAGGTCATCGATATCAAAATTCTTAGATATACATTTTGTACATACTATTGCTCTTAGCAATCGCTGAAAGTTTCAAAGCGATCGGTCACTCGGTGTAGCTATGACAGACATTGAAACTTTTTATGAGGTGAGGTCACTTCAAGTGACCTGGTGACCTGACCTTGAATGACCTTGGTCTGAAATTTTCACAACGTGTGTAGAATTGATGTATGATAAGGTGTACCAAAAACGGCGGCGCTCCGCGCCGCCGTTTTTGAGATATTCGCGAAAAACCACAAGGGGGGGTGTTCAAACACCCCCGGGGGGGTGTTCAAACACCCCCCCCCCCCAGCAGGGCGCGGGTTAACCCTCGCCCTGGCAGGGGGGTCGATGCGACCCCCCCTAAGGTTTTTCGAAGATAGCGTAAAAATGGCGGCGCGCAGCGCCGCCAAATTTGGCACAGCCTATGGGGCAACCTTTTTACATATGACCTGAAAATTTCAGGTCCGGGTGACCTTGGGTCAGGTCACCAGGTCAGAAAAACCGGTACAAGGTCATGGTCAAATTTCATTTTTCTTTTTGCACCTGTCCAACTCACAGTTTTGCACTGATTTCCTTCAAACTTTCAGGATGTGCTAAGGTCACCGCGTTGTATAACATATAGTTCGGGTTTTTTGAGGTCATTGACCTGAGGTCAGTTAGAGGTCATTACGTCGTAATGTTAAGCCTATGGGAAAATACTAAATTCGGAAAATACTGGAGATATCCGCTTCGTTCTATCACTTTTGTGCTTTGAAACCACAGTACTTAACAGCAGGTCACTTGGTGCTTCTTTGTTTGGTGTACTTATCCATGGGTCAGGTCAAATGAGGTCAACTGAGGTCAAATGACGTTTTTGCCGATAACTTGGCACATAATGACGCTAGAGCTTAAAAATGGTATCATTGTGTTCCTGGTGATCAGCCGAATCGAATGATATGCGATATGATGCAATTTGGTTAACTTTAACTTAATTTATTAGTTTAAGTTTACTTAAAATTTAAGAAAAACTTTAAGTACACTTAAGCAAACTAAAAAGTATATCATTCGACGCGCTTTGACGTGCTGAGTTCACTGGTGCTTTTTTTTTTGCTCTATCTTAATTAGATCAAAAGTTATAAGCGAAAAACATTTGACCTGTTTTTAGCGAAATTTTTACATTTATACCCCCCAAACCCCCCCTAAATAATGACCTAGAGCAACCAAATTTGCACAGGGGCGAGAACTCCAGGGGGCCCACCTACCTACCAAATTTGGTGTTTCTAGGTGCCATAGGAGCCAATCGCGAGGGGGGGGTCGCATCGACCCCCCCCCCCTGCCAGGCCGTGTTATGAAAAATGCCCTGCCAGGGCGAGGGTTAATATGCCTTATGTAGTTAGATAGGGATATACATACACTATACACTGTACAGGTGCAGAAAGATCGGTGCCTCTTCCCTTCTTAGCATGGCAGTTTTGACGAGCGCCTGACTGGAGTATTCTCCATAATAATATTGACTGATAGTCATCTTGAGCCTATATTGCATCCGTGACGACTAGTGATGTCAGTTACAGAAAATGAGGATACCGATACCAAAACAAATACCAACCAAAACCATGGGGAAATACCGAAACCAAACCAACTTAGGAATACCAGTCAGCTGCCAACTTTTAACCAAATTCACAGACAGACAGACAGACAGACAGACAGATTATTGATTGGTGCTTCAACTTCGAAAATCAGCGGGTAACAGTTGATCTCGAGATCTAGGAAACCCGCGGCGTATACTGCCCCCCCCCCTCCCCAGCTGGCATTGATGGGTTATCCAGGAGCCCGCCACTAATAGGCTAATCCTCCCAGTGCCGCGTGTCCGACCGTGGTCCGTGGACCTCGCCAGATTAGGGGTAAGTTCCGTGCGACGGTCCCTCTGTTCAACTACATTGTCCAATGACCCTGACATCATTCTGCGAAATTTCACCCTGGGAATTTTTCCTGGTGCGTCCGATCGGCGCTGGGAGTCACGCACCGTTTCCGTTCATTCCCACGTTCTCTGTGCCATTTCTGATCGCTCGGAATAATTGCACAGAACATTGGGAGGAAGCCTCTGGTCTGCAACCGAGAGCGCATTGCAACAGAGGCCGAACTGCAGCCGTTCGAACCAGGTTCGAACACCAGTGGTCAGCCGGAAAAGATTGTATCGGAGGTTGGCGGCCAGAACAGATGCTGGGGCAGCGCCCTATCCAGTGACCTGGCATTCCGAGTGTTAGGAAACGACCGGGGGCACAGTTTCATTTATTTGCTTCCGCATAGTTGATTTATCCACGCATGGGATTATTGCAACATTCGTTTAGAAAATTTCTTTTTTTTAAGGTCGTTAAAAGATTACATCATGGTGACGAATGTTGACGATATTGATGCGGAACATTTGCAGGGAATATTGCCTCAGCTAGGCATACACATGTATCTGCTTTTGAATTAAATGCTCAGACAATCTTTAACCCGCGCCCCGCAGGGCTATCGGCAGACCCTACCACCCGTAGGTGGGCCGTTTCGCCCTCCCCCCCCCCTAAGATCTCGGAATGTTACCGGCCGATTTTCAAAATTCAAATGACGTTCGATAGCCCCTCCGGGGAACTACCTTGTGACCGAATCTCATTGACCCCGGTCCAACTGATGTCATCACAGTTCAGGTCAAATGTCGCATTTTCACCGTTTACAGGCATTTCAAGAAATGTGTTGTAAAAGTCGAGCAAAAGGCATGTTATTGAAAACCGTCGATGGAGTATTGTTCTCAAACACATATTTTGGTATCTGAGGTAACTGATACTAGGTCAGGTCACAGAGGTCAGGTCACTGAGGGTC